GCGAGGTCCCAGGGCAGGGTCTCAGCAGAACAGGCAGCAGCTGCCAGGTGAGTCCTTCCAGGGCCGGGTCTCCACTGACTGGCTGGCCAGCACCAGGCAGGGTCGCTGTCCCATCAGCTGTCCTGAGGCAGCCATGCGGTCACTGGTCTGGTTTTGCTGCTTTTCTGGGCCCGGAGCTGACATACAACTGAAGCCTAGACGCTGTCTCAGGGAGGAAAGGCCAGGGGGTGCAAACCACATGACCAGGGATGTGCTAGGGGAGAGGTCACCTGGGGGAGAGCCCCCCCGCCAATGTCCTTTGCCAGGCACCCGGGCTCTCCGTCCTGCTGACCCTGGCCCGTCGTCCTTGCTCTGCCCGTCTGCCCACCACAGTCACTGCGAACTTGCCGAGGCTGCGGACAGGAGCAGGGCAGGGACCGCAGTGTCAGGAATGGGAGGTGCCTGGGGCGGGGCCTGAGGGCTGCCGGGGAGGTAGGCTGGGGCGGGCGCTGTGAGGAGGGTGTGTGACTCTCACACAGTCAGTCAGTGAAGCAAATGCCCCCTCAAAGGGGCGCTGTGACAGGAGGCAGGTCTCCTGAGCCTGTCCGACCCAGTGGGAGCCAGGAACTTGGATCAGGGAGCAGGACTGGGGGTTGGGGACCTGCCCCCTTGGGTCAGGAGAAGGCAGTCTCCCCCAGACCTAACCAACCAGGCTCCCCAGTGCTCCACCCACAGGCCCTGGATCCCCAGGGTGCCCTTCCATGTCCAGGCTGAGCCAGGTCAGCCCCCCCTACCCACCCCCCACCCCAACCTGAGGCTGAGCCTGCTCCTCCCTCTGCCCCAGGTGCGGCCTGACCCCGCTGCCCAGGCAGAACCCTGCTAGGGTCTGTCCCCCCAAACTCATACCTTGACTCCTAACCCAAGGTGAGGGCCCGGCCCCACCTCTGCACCTGTCCTGTGAGCAGCCCGGCCTTGCTGCGGCAGCAGGGGGGTGGGGGTGGGTAGGTCTCATGTGCACGGGGAGCATCTCTACCCCCACAACCGTCCTGGGCAGGAGCCTGCAGCTGACCTGACCACGTGACACGCGGGGGGGGGGCGGGAATCGGGCCTCAGGGTGCACCCCTCAAATGAGAGGAACAGGAACCCTCTCGGAATCCGCAGCACTGAGGGACACGGCCCAATCCCCCCATCTTTAGGAGACCCCGCGCTTCTGGTCGTTACCGGACCCCCCCATGTGACCTCTGCTCCCTCCGCAGACCTGAGCCACACAGAGCAGTGTCCGTGGGCAGGCGCCCCGGGGACTGCGGTGCCTCACACCCCAGCTCAGCCAGCTCTGCCCAGCTGCGTCCGGACGTCCCCTGGCACGCAGGCGTCTCTCCTGTCACCTGCAGCCTCAGCCAGGCAGACGGCTGGGCGGGAACCTGGGCTGGGGGAGGGGCCCGGATAGCGGGGTACCAGCTGGAAGCCTGCAAATCCTGGCAACACAGACCAGGAGGGAGGGGGGTCCTCACGGCAGAAGTGGGGTCAGGCCGGAGCACCGCGAGCAGAGGGCGCCGCCCCTCACCTGCCCTGGGCTCTGCCGTCCTGCGCCCCAACGTCTTCACTGAGACAGGGGTGGGCGGTCGGAGTCCTGGTAAAGGTCAGATAAACACTGAGCCGTGGACACGAGGGCTCCCGTCACGTGTGGCTGACAGGACACTCAGGGCGAGAGCGGCGCTGAGAGACAAGGACCCACAGCCTCGGGCTCTGCACACGTCGGCTGCTTTATTTTACTTTGTTAGACGTCTGCTGGCCGACCCCTCTGCTACCACGGGGACGGGAAAGGGCAGGCCCGGCCAGGGCGTCAGTTAGTTGCGAGGCATGATTCGTGGGTACTGTTAAGATTTAACTCACTTCTTAAGGTGCGATAAATAGGGGTGACGTGATCAATAGAATCAGCGCGCCATCATCAAACTCGGCCTCCAAGGGTCCCGCACGGAACGGCCCAGGTCCCACATGATCTCAGCAAGAAACGAGTCTTCCCAACACCCAGGTGCTTCCGTAACCATCCCTGCGATGAGCTGCACACGCGTGACAAGCACAGATGCTGGGCCTCTCTGGGTGAGACTGCTGGGGGTGGGGGGACAGGTCCGCCTGACACAGCCATGACCCTGGCAGCCGGGAGCAGGGGAGCCCCAGGCCTGCGGGGGGGGGGGGGGACGGTCCCCCCAGCCACAGCCATGACCCAGGCAGCCGGGAGCAGGGGAGCCGCAGGCCTGGCAGCCCGCACCCCGGAGGCCGAGGCCGGTCTGCCCACAGCGCGCAGGGAGCCGTCACCACCTTGTCGTGGAATCCAGAGAAAACCACCAAGGAACCGGGGTCTCGTTCGGGCACCCGCTGGCACGCAGTCCAGTTGCAATGTCTCTGAAATCTAGGCTATTCTGGGGATTAAATATCTTCCTTATTTTGTCAACTGAGCGATTCATCGTGAACACATGATTCTGGTTTTGTGCAGCTTCCTTAAAAAACCTGCGAGACTCCCCTCCTCCGCCCCAGCGGGCTGGTGCACCCACACGGCGCCGCTGCAGCGCGGCCCCTGGAGGGCACTGTTGCACCCGGCTGGACAGACCAGTCCCACGGTTTTCTATGTCGGGGCGATTCCTTCCAAGGGAACAGACAAGGTTTGAACAGAGCGGGTTGAAGGCTGAGGAGACCCAGTGTGGGGCGTTTCCCATACGACGTCTCCTCAGCCAGGCAGCCCCACAGACAGGTGGCTGGGCTCCGACCACAGCAACACCGGCCTCCCGCCTGCCTGCCGGTGAGACCGCCCTTGTTTGTAGGAAATGCCATCTGTGAGGCCCAGGAAGGCGAGGGCAAGAAAGCCAGTCGGCCTGCACTCGAACCCAGCCCCGCCTCCCCGGAACCTTCCATGACCAGCTCGCCCCCAGGGTGGGCTCCCAGGAAGGAACCATTACAGACAACGCAACAGTAGGCGGAGTTCTGCCCCTGGAGGCAGTCATGTCGGAGGCACTTGGTGGCGACTTGGGAATTAATACTAATGCACCACCAAGCCCTCTCTTAGGAGCAGCGCTGGGGCTTCGGGAGGCGGGGGGGCTCCCAGCGGCTACTGCCCCTTCTTCAGGGGCACCCGGCCGTTGGCCCTGGGCGGGGCGGGGCCCCGGGGCTGCTGCAACGCGAAGTTCCAGTCCACGGGGCTGAGGAGCTGCTGCGTCTTCTTGTGGGTCCAGTAGGGGTTGAGCACCAGCGTCAGGAGGCTCATGCCCAGGAGGAAGAGCGCCAGGTGCGGCGGGTGCAGGGTGCCCCGCAGGCCCTCCCAGTGCTGCGCGCACACCCACCACATGTGGTAGGTGAGCACCATGCGGCAGTGGAACATGTGGATCATCAGCCACTGGTTCGCCTTCCAGAGCAGCGAGTCGGCCCAGCCAGCCTGCGGGGACACAACAGGGTCAGCACGGCAGTGCAGGGACACGCGTCCTGCCCGGGCCTCCTCCCGCCTCGCGCTGGCCAGGCCTGGCCGGGCGCTGGGCCTGCTGACCAGCCCTCCCCCGCGGACAGCCCAGGCGTCGCTCAGGGCGAGGCCGTCCCTGGTCCCTGGGCTGTTGTGTATTCTATCCCAGTGGCCCTGGGACTCAGCCACAGGGAGCCTGCCTTTAGGTCATTCTAATTCACAGGACGCCTAGCCTCCAGGGGTTGCAGCTAAACCCACAGAGCCAGCCTGCAAGGGTCTCATGCTGGTCTCCGCTAGGATTTCAGGCCTCTGACACCGGACTGTGGGCAACAGAAGCAAAAGTCTAAGGGGGGCTTTGCCTCATCGCTAGAGAGAGCAAGATGGGTCCCCAGCTACTCTGCCGGAGCCCGAGGGCGCTCGCCAGGGCTCTCGTTCCGGCACAACTGCTCAGCCTGCGCGGTCAGACCCGGAGGCGCGGCCTCACCCGGAGGCGCGGCCTCTGCGTGTGCGCCCGTGTTCCCGCCAGCGTGGGAGGACATGGCTTCGCTAAGTGAGCTTCCAGGAAGGGCCATTCGAGACCTCCGTCTACCTTATGACCGATGCTGGCTCTCTGGACACAAGACAAAAAACTTCAAATATAAAGTCACAGGCAGGGCTGCGGGCGGCTGCGCTCCACTAAGGAGACAGACAGCCCGGGACGGAGGCCTGAGGCGGCGGCAGACACCTGTCGGTCACGGATCGGTGGGAGTGGCCTCCAGCAGAGGTAAGAACCATGCAGCCAACAGTAAAAGCAAGGAATCGGTTAAAGCGCGGCCTCGGGGCTGACGAGTTCTCCCAGGACTAACGGGCGACAGCTACCTGAGAGCACTGACGCCATGAGCTGTCGGGAAAGCGCGCCAGACCAGCGAGACCGAC